ACGCTCTGAACGCCTCGCACCGTGCATCGTGTTTGCACACCGCTAGGCGTGCAAACACGACGCACAGGATAAACCCAGAGATCTCAGCTGGGAGCTCCAAGTATTGAAGCCGTTGCTCCAGTATTCCTTCGTCGCCAAAAGACAAGCGGGAGCTCAGAGCTGGCGTTGCCCGAGGGGAGCCTGGACTCCAACAAGCAGGAGTCTAGTGAGAGCGAGGCCCGCTGGCCTGGAGCTTCCCCTTCGCCGGCAGCGTTCAGGGAAGTTTCTCAGACTTTCCGCTTTGGAGGCAGAAAATGGGTTTTCAGCGGATTCTGAGAACTTGCTCCAAATTTCCAAAGCAGGCGTCTTCTGTTCGTCTCCTCTGCAGATCCCAGATGGGCAGGACCAGCTTTCTGTTACTGGAACGGCAGCGCACAGCTGTCGCAAACATTTCTGAAGTCAGTTAGCCTGGTTTTTCTGCGACGCCTGAATGCACGTTGAAGTGCACATGTAGCCGTAAGTGAGGTGCAGAGGGCACCTCTAGTCCAGCCCGCTCTCCAAACCCTCCGTTCCCTTCGCTGCAAAGGCCTCAGGCAGGTCCGAGACCAGCACGGTAAGGGCTAGCCGATTGCTGGGATTACGCCGTTCCCTCCCGGGGTCTCCAACCTGGTTTGGCGAGAGCCTAGGATGACGTGCTAGACGCCTCCCGACATCCTCCAACGCCTGCCCGGTCCTGTACCTCCAACACATTTCAGCGGACATCGACTTCCAAAATACCATATTTCCCGGCCTGTTGCATGGCCTCTCATAACACACACCTTGTTTTTGGAAGACAAAATAAAGGGGAGCGGGGTGGAAGACATTTCCTTTGAGAAACCGCTCAGAGTCAGTCTACCTGTGCCCGGAAATTGGGGCTGAAAAACGAGCAGGAGTTTCCGAGCATCACGGCAACAGCTGGCGTTCCTGGTTGTCACGGGCCACAATCGCTGTTGACAATTTATGGCCACAATAAGAGTAATTCTCCGGATCCCAAGGTCACTGCCACCTGATAGCAGTGACTGGAGGTCAATAACTGCATGGGCACGGCATGGCACGGCACGGCACGGCGGTACCAGGAGCCATGCGTGTCGCCGAAGAGCGCGGGGCCAGTGCCCCCCGCCAAACCTGGGCAGAGCAGCGTGGTCGCTGGCGAAGGTGGTGGGGAGCAGAGCAAGTGTCTGCCGCCCAAATCTCTGCCACGCCGCACACAGCTCCTGCATGAGGCGCAGGGCCCTGGGCTTGACCTTGGGAGGTGGGGAGCTCCCCCGGAGAGGTGGGCAAGACAGGATGTGTCTGCACCTGGACTGGGCAGTGCGCGCTCCCCGGGGCAGTGCCGAGCCCAGAGCCTGGCTGAGGGGTGGGGGTTGCTTTACAGCCCCTGGCAGGTTACTGATTTACCCCGGCAAGGCGTGTGCCTGCACCACCCGGGGAGGCACTTGCCTGGCACATCGGGTCACGTCCCAGTCCTCGGCGCTTCACTAGGACGGGCAGGGACGTCTCGGGGGTGCCAGGCACGATGCTGCGGGGCTGGCTGCTCCTGTCCTGCCTCGTGCTCGGGTCGGCGCAGACGGTCCTGGACAGAGCCAAACAGATCATGAAAGACACGCCGGTGATTGACGGGTGAGCCACGGGGACGGTGCCACGCGGCCGCCCGTCCCCAGTGCCGGGGCCGCGTGGGCTGGGCGAGGAGGCCATGCCAGCCCCTCTCCCCCTCTCCAGAGGTCGGCTTCCCCCCCGAAGGACCTGGCCTAGGGACCCCTTGGAGCCGGCGGGCTGGGAAAGTTCCCACCAGCCCAGGAGATCTCAGTTCCTACAAAACCTCCCGGCAGAGAAAGCCCCTGACCACGGCATGCCCCGGGAACCCCCATGCCGCACCCTGCCCCGCTGGGGAGCCCGCCTGCCCGCCCACCCGGGGCCTGGGCAGAGCCCAGGCTGTCGGAAGAGGAGGGCTGCTAGGCACAGGCGTGCGGGGAAGCCCGGTGCAGGCAGGGATGCCGGCCGGGCTCCACGGGGTCAAGGTGCTGCCCAGAGCGCCCTGCTCCGCGCGGACCCCAGAAACCCCCTGGCTGAGCTGTTCCCGGCAGCCGGGCTGGGGCTGACGGTGCTGGGGCCCCCCCTTGCAGGGAACACCCTTGGCCCAGCCGGTCCACGGGGACCTACCGCCCCGGCTGGGGCTTGCCCGGACTCCCCCACGGTCCCTGGGGACTGAGACGCAGCCTCCCCTTCCTGCGACCGCAGCGACCGGGGTCGTGCCACCCTGCATCTGCTGGCGGGGCTGGCGCCTGCCCAGGTCCCGTGCCCCTTAGCTCTGCTCACAGCCGGGGCAGAAACCTCCCCAGACCCCTGCATAAGCGAGGAGAGGGGTCAGCCTGAGCCCACCGCGGGCCACCAAAGCCGAGGCCTTGCAAGCAGAGCCCCCCCCTTGCTGCGGGGTTACGTGGGGGGGGCACAAAGCAGCCGCAGACGGCGGCGTCGGCGGCGGAGAAGGCTCAGGGGGCGGAGGGGAAGCGATAGCCCTCTGCCGACACGGGGAAGGGGCAAGGGGACGTCAGAGGCGGGTGACGCAGGGAAGAGGGAAGTGTGAATATGCGACGGCCCCCCCCCAGTGAGACACTTCCCGATGGCGGCTGCACGGTGCAACCCCACCCTCGCTGGCCACGCGTGTGTCCCGGGGCATGTGTTGGCGTTCCCGCAGGGAGATGGCGGGCCTGGACACAGCTCCATGCCAGCCTGGGTCACCGGCTCCCTCCGCTTGGACCCCCCTGCACCCCCATCCTGATCGCGCCAAAGCAACACCTGCACCGTGCCGCCAAAGCTGTTCTGCGCCCCCAAGCAGCCCTGGCCAGATGCCTCCGGTTGGCAGCCCCCTGACCCGGGAGCCATGCCTGGCGGTGGTGCCCAGGACCAGTGGCGCCGGCAGGTTGGCAGGGGCGTGGGCCCCCCAGGCTGGGCAGCGCGGAGCTGACAGCGAGGCGGGCACTGGTGACTTGGAGTCTCCAAAGCGTCATTCAGGGGATCCCTGTGGGGATCCCGCGACTGCTCGGAGCCTCCTCCCGGGGAAGAGAAACAGCCAAGACGCCCAGGAAGAAACTCCCTGGCAGGTCCCAGCACTGCCTCGGGACCGGGGCAGTGATGAAGGGTGTCATCACTGCCCCGGTCCCGAGGGCGTGCGTGCGGGGAGGCTGCAGAGGTGTGGGTCGCTGCGGGGCGGGAGGACCCTCGGGGATGGGCCTCGAGCAGGCATCGCGTGAGCCCTGGATCCGGCCAGTAAGGAGAGCGGCCCCGTACCGGGTCAGCCCCGAGGTGCGCATCGTCTCCTGCGTCATACGGCGGCAGAGAGCGGAGGCTGGGAAGGAGAGACCTGTGCCTGACCCAGGTTTTCCCCGGTTCCTCTCCGACCTGCGGCCTCCAGCCCTTAAGATGGAGGAAGTTCTGACGCAGAAGCTGTTTCTGCAGCTCCCCTGCTCCAGAGCTGCCAAGGATGTCCCCCACCCTGCCCAAATCCGGCCAAGGAGCCAGGAGTCCCTGCCAGTCCAGGCCAAGGAGCCAGGCACGAGTGACCGCTGGGCGACCGAGAACTTCCTGGTGGTCGTTATAAAACTGACCATTCGTGCTGCGACCCCTGTTCTTGGATGGTGGAGAGCTGCAGTCGGGGCGGCCAAGCCCTGGCCCCCGGGCGCAGGCAGGGAAGGGCGCAGGGACTCCCATCTCTTCACCCTCCCCACCCGTGCTGGCACAAGCGCCCGGCCCCCAGCCCCGGCGTGCCAGCCGGCCTGGCGCACGCGTCGTGGGTGGGGTTTGCATGCACCGGGTGCAGGATGAGATAGCTGCAGCTGCAGGAAGGAACTGGGAACTGCTGCAAACTCAATCCTGGCAGGAGGCTGCGAGCTTCCCCAGGGAGGGTCCTCGCCCAGCTGCGCGTGGGGGCTGCACCCTGCCCAGCTGAGTCAGGCAGGGCTTCCCCCGGGGAGGGGGCAGGGATGGACCGCTGGACCGCTGTTCCCAGCCCCTCTGCTCCTGCCTAGGCACAACGACCTGCCCTGGCAGCTGCTGCGGAAGTTCAACAACCAGCTGGGCACGGCGGAGGCCAACCTCACGCTGCTCGAGGGCACCCACACCAGCATCCCCAAGCTGCGCAGCGGGCATGTCGGGGGGCAGGTAGGCACCCACCGCCCAGGCAGGGGCTCAAGACAGGCAGGAGGGGGCCAAAAGCCCCCGTGGGCCGACGCTCCCACGCTGCAGGGGCTGGCCCTGCACCCAGGCCCCCGGTTTCCCTTTCACTTCTTCCTCCCAGTCACCGGGCCCCTGCGAGCCAGCGACTGCCCCCACAAGGCACCAGCCCCCACAGGGGGTGGGACTCTTCTCCCAGCCCCGGCTCCCGCCTCTGCCACTGCCTGCCATGATGTCCCCGGGCAACTCACCCGACCTCCACTGCTCTGCGCTGCCCCTGGGCACACGGGGTGGGTGAGGATGGGCACGGGGGGGTCCAGGCCTGCTGACGCTGCTCTTCCCCCAGTTCTGGGCAGCCTATGTGCCCTGCGACACGCAGAACAAGGACGCGGTGAGGCGCACGCTGGAGCAGATCGACGTCATCCACCGCATGTGCCTCATGTACCCCCAGGACTTCGCCTGCGTCAGCAGCAGCACGGGTGAGCGGGACAGCTGGAAATGCCCCGTGCCCTGGAGGTCCTGGCTGTGGGTAGCGCCTCCCTCCTGGGCGCCCCTGTGGGTCTGGCTTAGCCCCCCATTGCTGGGGCTGGGCGCGGACCGGGGAGCCCTGCAGCAGGCCACGCCATGCTTGCTTTGCAGGCGTGCGGCAGGCCTGGAAGGCCGGGCGGGTGGCCAGCCTCATCGGCATCGAGGGCGGGCACTCCATAGACAGCAGCCTGGGCGCCCTGCGCATGTTTTACCTCCTGGGCGTGCGCTA